AAATTGCATGGAAGGAAATTGCCCATCCTTCTCCTGCACAGCAGCTGGTGGAATTGAACCACCTGCCTTTGGGACTGCAGCACAGGTTCTTACCTCTAGGCTACCAGTGCTCTCTATTGATAGATAGATAATGGGAAAATTGGGGGGGGTGTGTGTGTGTGTGTGCGTGTGTGTGTGTGTGTTTGTAACCATGTATCCTGGAGAGTTGACTATAGAAGTTAATTGGCTCCATGCATCTTAATTCTCTTGTTATGTGAAGCCTCCCAGACGACTGCTGTGCAATAGATTTAGCAGAGCAATGGAGAATACTTGGCCAAACAAGATTGCTTTGCTTAAATCAGGTCAGGGAGGGTCCTGTAAAATGCTGTGTGCTTGTTCCTGCATGTGACCAGTGCCTGCCTGTTCTAAACTAAGGAAGAACTCCTTTTTTCTGTGTGCACATTCCTGGCATGAAGTGTGTGCTGTTGCTCACAGATCAAAAATCTAAGGGCTCGCTGCCCACCTTTCCCTGCAGGAGACCCGCGGGTGGGAGGTACATGCGACCCAGCTGGGAGCCTCAGCTCTGGCACCTGCTGCTCTTCTTCTGTCCCCGTGATGAACCCAGAGCCTGTCACTATGGCTGCACTGGGCTGTGTTAGCCATTTTTAGTGATTCTAATTCTGCCCCAAAATAGTTAACTTATGTCTTTGTTTGTTCATTTGGCTTTTTTGGTACCTTAAAAAAACAAACACCCAAACCCCTTAGCTGTTTAAGCTGCCTTTCTCTTTATGTTCTCTCTTCCTCCTTGCAGTGTATTTTTATTCTGTGTGGAGTTTTAGAAAAACATGTTACAAATGAACAGTGGTGCTTACTGAGACGGCCCAAGCACACATCTCAGCCGAGCGTCTTTGCTCATGGTTCTGTGAGTTGTGTGGTGGCCCAGCCGCATGTAGTGTCCTGTGGGTGTACAGTGTCCCGTCTGCCCTTGCAGAGCTTGTGTGGTTGGTTAACTGTTGAACAGGCTGAGAGAACAGAGAGGCCTCTTTGCCCAAAGACACTATCTCTGTGAATCACATCTTGAGTCCCTCTTCTAGGCCGAGAAAGTCTCTTCCCATTAGTTGTGCAGGAAGAAGGGAGCAAAAATATACTTTTCTTCTTTCAGAAGAATATTCTTATGCCTTACTAATAAGAAATAATGGACTGAAGGGGGGGAAATCATGTAAGTGGGCCAATTTATTAGCCGAGAGGCTGGCAGGCTGAGCCCATGGAGAGGTCCCTGCAGGGAGCCCCGGAGGCCTACAGGGTAGGGCTTTGCCAGCTCAGTGGCAGTTTATCCTGCAGCTGCTCTGATGGAGAAGGCTGGGGAGTCTCACGTCGTGTGACTTACACCCTCTGAAAACCCTTTGGAGGGTCTGCTATTAGTCTGTTCTGAATCAACAGCAATGAGTGTTTTGAGAGAGGCATTTTGGAGGACAGGTGTGGTGATCTACTTCTGAAAGACTCGCCTTGAAAACCGGATGGGGTAACTTTACACATATGGGGTCTCAGTGAGTCAAGATTGACTTGACAACCAAGTGTTCACATTGCATATGGTGGTGCTGAGTTGCTTCTAACTCACAGAGCCCCTATAGGGCAGAGAAGAACTGTCCCAAAGTGTTTCCTGTTATTGTTGTCCAGTGTCAATCAAATACAATTCATCTCTAACCTAAGAACAACAGAACTGACTCTGTCCTATCTTGTGCCATCTTCACTATCTCTAACACACTTGATGTAGGCTGTAATTTTTTAATGGGAGCTGATCAGGTCTTTTCTTCTGAGAATCTACTGATTCAAAACTGCTGACCTCTCAGTTACCGGTCAGGTACTTAACCATTGTACTACCAAGAAGTTGTTGTTAAGTGCCGTCGAGTCAAATGAAAAACCTGAACACTTGTTTCACTTTCATCCTTTCTCCAGGTTCATAGGGTTTTGGGAGGCAAGCTGTTGTGGAAGTGGCTGCCACTCCTGCTTCCAAGCTTGTTTTAGTCAGCGAGCTCCACCGAACACTGTCCAACATGGGTAACCATTATTGCATTTGACTCATCAGTGTCACAGTGTTTAGCATCACAGCCACCACAAGTTACTCTTTTGAAATAGATATCTGTAGAAGCAACATGCATAGTACTTATATTGCTATGCTGTTAAATTCTTTGGTTGTTTGTTTAATGCCGTCGAGTCCAGAAATGATTTTTCTATTAAGTTCTTAGTTTAGATTTTATGCCATCCAATAAAACATAGTTATCTTCTTAAAAGTATTGTACTTAATAATTTCCAGATTTTTTTAGCAGCTTTATTGAGGTATAATTTAACTTACATAGCTAAATGGTTATGTGCGACCATCCCCACCTTTCCATTTAAAAACATGTCCATTATCCTTCAGATTTTCTCTCACCCCTTTGTAGTTAACCCCCTTTCCCACCCTCCCCACTTCCACCCTTCGCCCCAGGCAACCACTGGTTTTTGTTTTTCTGTAGGTGGGCCTTTTCTGGACATTTCACATCAATGCTATCACATAATATGTAGTCTTCTGCTGCATCTGTCTTCTTTCAGTTACCGCAATGTTCTTGAAGTACATCTGTATGGAAGTATTTATTATTGGTTTGTTACTTTTATTCCTGAATAGTAATCCACTGTATGGATTAGTGCCCAAGAACCCTGGTCACATAATAGTTAAGCACTCAGCTACTAACTTAAAGTCAATGGTTCAGACTTACCCACCGGCTTCTTAGGAGAAAGCCCTGGCAGTCAACTCCTATAAAGATTCCAGCCTAAGAAACTCTAGAGGGCAGTTGTTGTTGTGTACTGTTGACTCAGAATCGACTGAGAGCTGACCCTCCAGTGGGTTTTGACATGAGAGGAGATTACCTTCCATGGAGCAGCTAGTGGATTTGAACCACCTATCTTTGGGTTACAGTGCAATTCCTTACCACTGACTTGACATTATTCAATAACAACAAGCCGAGAGCTCCTTACAGGGCTTATTACAGTACTTGTCTGTAATACATGGGATCTCTATGAGCTGAAACCAGTTTACCAGCACCCAACAACATGGCTCCATCATTTTCTTTCTGACTATAAACTAAACTTCATTTCTAGGGTGTAGGAACAGCTGCATTCTTTGACTCTTAGTTCCTTTCCTCCTTTTATAAAACCAGCAAAGGGCAGTCCGTATCATGTTCCAGCTCTCTGAATCCTTCTTTCCTATTTCTCCCCCCTCCTTCTTCCCTCTACCCCTTCATCTCTCCCTCTCTTTCCAGCCAGAAAAGGTTCTCTGCTTCTGAGGATTAGGTTGGCTTCAACCAGATAATCCCAAATAATCTCTTCATTTTAACATCTTTAACTTTAGTCACATCTGTGTACTCTTTTGCTATGGAAGGTGACATTCACAAGGTCTGGGAATTAGGACATGGACATCTTTGGAAGAGTCATTATTCTTCCCACCACATAAGTATTTCCTACAGTCTGTGGTTTATAATTTTATTTTCTCATGCTATCCTTTAAAGTGCAAACATGTTTCATTTTGATGGCTTCCAATTTATTGACTTTTTCTTTTATGAATCATGCTAAGGTGTTGTATCAAAGAATACTTAATGAAGCATCTGAAAGATTTTTCCTGTTTTCTCCTAGAATTTTAATACTTTTATATCTTAAATTGAGATTTATGATCCATTCTGAGTTAATTATTATTGGGTACTAAGTAAAGATCTAAGTTTTTTAAAGTTATTTTTAATGTACTTATCCAATTGTCCAATTATTGAAGACATCTCCCCCTCTCAAAGGTCTTGGCACCTTTATGGAAAATCAGTTAGGCCCAAATTATGAACATATATTTCTGAATTATAAGTTCTCTGTAATCAATAGATATGCCTATTCTAGCACAGTAAAACATTCTTTCTTTGTCACTATTAGGAATGAAGTTGATTTTAAATTTAAAAATATTATTACTCGGAATTTATTGTTGTTGTTAGGTGTCATTGAGTCAAGTACAACCCATAGCAATCCTATGAACATGATCTGAACTCTGTCCTATCCTGTGCCATCCTCACACTTCCTGATATACATCAGAACCCATCGCATCAATCACGGTTTCAATTCACCTGGTCAAGAACCTTCCTCTCCTTTGCCGAACCTCTACAAGGAGTAGCGCCTTCCTATCAACATGCCCAAAGTATGTGAGGCAAAGGTTTATCATCTTTGCCTTCAAGGAGCACTCTGGCTGCACCTTCTCCAAGACATATCCAAGGAATGTTCAGTGCTCTTCAAACACACAGCTCAAAGGCATCAATTCTTCTGCCATCCTTATTCATTGTCCAGCTCTCAGATGCATAGACCATGGCCTTAATCAGATGCGCTTTAGTCCTCAGGTTATTGATGAGTCTTCCTATAATCTTGATGCTACATTCCTCAAATAATTTGAGAAGTCCAGCTTCTCAAATAATTTGCTCAGCCTACAGATTGAATAGGTATGGAAAAAGAATACAACACTGATTTACTCCCTTCTTAATTTTAAATCATGTAGTGTTCCCATGTAGTTGTCCCATGTTCCTTGTAGTGTTCCATGTAGTTGTTCAAAACACACATTCTCACCACTGGGCCAACTGGCAGCACCAGGATAGATGCTGAAGAGATTGAGATTGTTAACAGCTTCAGTTTGCTTGGCTCTACAATCAGCACTCTTGGTACCAGCAGCCAGGAAATGAAAAGATGAATTGCATTGGGAAAGGCTGCTGTCAGAGACCTCTCCAACGTACTGGAGAGCAATGTCAGTCTGAAGACTAAGGTGTGCCTGATATAGGCCATGGTCTTTGCAAAAAGTTCTAAAGATGTCGCAGGTTTTGATATTACTTTTACATTAACTATCCTGATAGATAGTACTAAATTTTCTGCTTTGAATTTGAACAAGTTATTGTTGGTCTTACTCATATTGCTTTTGAATTAAGTAATAGTATCAAAGCTCTAATTTGTTTTCTTACTCTTTTCAGATAAGCCTTTAGAGTCTCGTAGACTCTACAAGAAGTCCATTGAGAACTCGCCCAACATGGATGCCGTTTTTGATGAGGCCTTTCAAAATATGAGGAAGCAGTACCCTGGGCAGCTTTCTCAGGAGACCTGTGTCCGTGCAGTGCAGGCTGCAGTGCATTTTCCTTACGAAGTGGGCATCAAGAAGGAGGAGGAACTGTTCCTGTACCTTCTGCAATCAGGGCAAGCTCGAGCCCTGCAATATGCTTTCTTCGCTGAGAGGAACACGAATAAGTGGTCAACTCCCTCTGGAGCTTCTTGGAAAACAGCTTCAGCAAGGCCTGTCTCCTCAGTTGGTGTTCTTGGTAAGAATGGTTAATGTAGTTCTCCAAATCGACACACACAAATGTTAACATTTGCTGAGAGCCACTCTGGGCTAAACCTGTTAGTTGTGGTGGTTGTTGTAAGGTGCTGTTGAGTCAAGTATGACTCATAGTGACCCTTTGAACAAAAGATCTGAACCCTGTTCTATCTTACACCATCCTCACACTTCCTGACACAATAGAGCCATTGCGGCAGTCACTGTGTCAATCCACCTGGTCGAGGCTCTTCCTCTCCTTCACTGACCCTCCGTCCTTCCTAACATCACGTCCTTCTCCAAGGAATAACCCCCTCCTAGCAACATACTCAATGTATGTGAGGTGAAGCTTCATAATTCTTGCCTCCAACGAGCATTCTGGCTGCACCATCTCCAAGACATATGTGTTTGTTCTCTTGGCTGTTCATGGGAGGCTCAGTGCTCTTCTCCAACACCACAGCTCACTAGCATCAATTCTTTTTCTGTCATCCTTATTCATTGTCCAGCTCTCAGATGTATAGCAAGTAATCAGAAAAACTATGGCCTGAATCAGATTCACTTTAGTCCTCAAACTGACATTATTATTCCTCAATAATTTGGAAAGTTCCCTAACTGCAGATTTTCTCAGGGCAGTGCATCTCCTTATTTCCTGACAAGGGTGTTAATTGTGGATCCAAGCAAGGTGAAGCTGTTGACAGTTTCAATCTTCTCCACCTATCATGAAGTTGCCTATTGGTCCAGTGCTAAGAATCTTTGTTTTCTTGACACTGAGATGTAATCCATACTGAAAGCTGCATTCCTTGATCTTCTGCAACAAGTGCTTCAAGTCCTCCTCACCACCATTAGCTGTGGTAGCTGAGCTTTTCTCATTCCAACCTGTCAAAACCCAAGCAAAACCATTACATTGATTCAACTAATGGAGACTCTAGGAACTGGAGATTATAAGTGCACTCTACAGATTTTTCTTGGCTGTTTTCTTTAGAGAAGCAGATCACCAATATTTTCATCCATGGTGCAGTGATTGGATTGAGTTGCTATTAGGTTAAAAGTAGAGATCAAATTACTTATGACATAGCCTAGAGACATTAACTAGAGTTGCACTTAGGTTACACTGAAAAGTTTGTGTCAAATGTGTTAATGGTTACCCACAGCGGACAGTGTTTGGAGCTCTCTGATTAAAACAAACTTGGAAGCAAGAGTGGCATCCACATCCATAATAGCTTGCCTCCGGAAACCTTATGAACCTGGAGAAAGGATGAAAGTCAAGCAAATGTTAAGGATTTTCGTTCATAGGGTCGCTATGAGTCACCTACGACTCGACACCACTTAACAAAAAACATCTAACACCAGAGGCTGGCATTATTTTACTCACGTTTACTTGTTTCCTGTATATGTCTCTCTCTCCTGGAACTTCCAACAATGCTTAAAGTGCTTACTGCAGAAGGTCAAGGGCTGCAGCCTTCAATAAAGATTGCATTTCACCATCAAGAAAACAAAAATCCTCACCACTGGGCTAATTAACAGCACTCTGATAGATGGAGAAGAAATTGAGAATGTTAACAATTTCATCTTGCTTGGGTCCACAATCAAAACCCTTGGCATAGCAATCAGGAAAACAAAAGAAGGGTTGCATT